TTTTCCCTGGAATTCATCCACAATCCTGGAGTAAAAGCCGGCTCTGTAAACTTCACAAAAACCCTTGACATTCCATTAAGGGCCACACCGTACAATTCATTGTTCGATATCCCGTAGACGTCCCTAATGATGGCCGATAACAGTACATGCATCGTCGCACTGCTTAACGTTCCTCGAACTAATTCAATACAGACAGTATTCACACTCCTGTTGATACGATCCGCCATGTTGGTGTCTAAGTCCAGCAGTCACCACCAGGTGGCGTGTAGGGAGACTCAAGAAGCGTCCTCTCTTCCCAGTGGTCGAGAGACGAATGACCCTCCTTGTTTTAAATACAGGTACCCCCACTCATTTCGACCATTGCACTCCGACTCTCTTGCATAGATCTCTCAATTTGCTCCTATTCAACTGCTCCTATTCAACTCCCCCCTCCCGGAGGGAGCACCCGACGTCTCAGTCAACGTCACACAACGTTCCTCGTCACCTGCGGCCTCGTCTGCCCAAGACAGACGTACTGCCCTTGCCACAGGCAGAGGACGATTTCTCCATAGGTATCGACACCAGCGACGTCACCACTTCCGTCGGTTGCGGGGCAGCCGTCTTGCCACACCCCGCCGCCATGTGATCAAAACTACCACACAAGCGACATGTTCGCCATTGTCCTACATATGTGACAAACACTTCCCGCCCCTGAACTCAAAGACACAAAGAGGGGAATGGCCCTCCTCAACGTCATCTTCAAAGTAAAGGAACCTTCAGGCAATCCAGCATACAGCCCATCCTTCCACCTTCCCAACGCCGCTGTATGCACCTCACCGTAACACTTGAACGCCTCACTAACGTCCACGGCGTCCGCCTCAATGGGGACGTTACGGATTCGTACCCAGGTGTAGGTTCGGGAAGCATCCCTCAGTCGTACCTCCATCCCCGAAGTCACAGGAAGGCACTTCTCCTGGTATAAGGACACATTTCATTCGTAGGCAGCCACCGAATAAAACTTTATGAAGGTTCTCGATGTTCCATTCAACGCTATTCCATGCAGCTCGTTGTTGCCAATACCGTAAGTATCTCTGATTATCGCTGGCAGTATTGCAGAAGCCGTTGTCAGGTAAATCTCACCCTTTACGATGTCAACACACACCGTATTGCTGCGCCGTCTACCACCGGTAGCCATCTTTGAGAAAACAGGAAACTGTGCAGGAAGGGCAACTCAAACAGGAGCGTCTGCACAGGAGAACCTCTCGGCCCGAGAGTGAAGAGGTCAATGGTGGTGGTAGGATTATATGTCTACTGTCACTTAGCCTTCCTCTATCAGCGCAGTTTGGAAAAATGTACGGAAATTGAGTGGCAAGTACTCTCCAGACCCGGATCCCGTTCTTAGAGTAGCCGGTGTCAGTATTACAAGCCCTCTCGAAGTTACCAAATAAATTGGAAATTTATCTTGTCCATATCCCCTTAGGGCTCTATTATGCCCCCCGTTTCTTTTCTCCAAGTCTGCCAGAGAGTTTCTGCCTTTAGACTTTTCTTTTAACAGCCTTAAATTTATCTTCCCTCTTCGGGTGACGGCCCCACCTTTGACACAGACTCCCTCTTTGATTTTTTGACCACAGATTTATTTTTAGCAACCTTTAATAATTTTTTCCTTTAACACTCCTCACCGGCCTTACTAACTCTACCTCCGTTTTTTCAAAAACACTGGTATACATGAAACTCAACAAAGGAAAGCCCAAACTTAGCTCACAAAACAGGAATCAGGTAACTTCATTGTTTACCGGACCTAGTCTCAAAAAGCATCACATGCATTTTTCAGGTCACTATGCGTTGAGGTGTATTTGTATTGTCTATCAATAATATTTTCAAGTTTAGGTATGTTTGACCTATCTATGTCTGTATCATGCATATCAAGTTTTAAATAAAATATATAAAAAATACATCTTTGTTCTATTCCTCGCTTTATAGCAAATTCATAATGAAATGTTTACTGAAAATAGATTCCTGAAACATAGAAATTATCCACAAATTATAGTTACATTGGCGGTTTAATGTCGGATGATCGATGCCAGCGACATCTAGGGGCGGTAAACAAAACTGTTTGTAAGATAAAATTTACTGTAGATATCTGGAACAACACTTCATAATTTACATAAAATATTGTTCAACATTAGTGGTAAGAGGTATGATGATAATATTAATGACAATATATAATACGATACAATAACGATAATTCTACCCAAAAAAAAATATGGATGTTGTTGTAGTAAATTGGGGTTATTTTGACTAATAAGCAGAGTGCTTCGGGTAAATTGATACTATATGGAAAGAATACTTTAATGTTTAATATATAAATGAGTAAATTTCTTTTATTGGTTTGAGAGACTCAGGGAGAGGGAGACCAAAGTTACACGAAGCTTCTGTCTTGGTAACAACAGTAGAAGTGTGGGAGGTAATGAGGTAACCCGCAACTCTTACTACTTCATTCTCCTGATCTTCTCTCCCACAATAACACCACCTTAACCCTGCTATGGTAAGTGTACATAAAACTGTCATATTGAGAGTTTTGATTATGCAGCTGAATAGACGTTTGCTGATTTCCATTGGTTAGTGATTTATCTGGAAGCTCGTGAGTTTGAGGTTCTAGGTTTAACTTTTGCATTTGAAGTAAAACCTCCAGACATCTTTTTTTTTTCTATATTTTATTTAGAACATTCAATGAAGTAAGTGTACAATATCAGAACATCCACTCAGCCTAAATTCTTAATTGTCTAAACATACTGCATGTTTTACTTTGCCCTTGCACAAAAAAATCCCACATCACCTGTAAAGTTCATCTCTTAACACTTGTGCTACATACAGGATTGTACCAAGTTAGACTTTACAGCAATAAAAAAAAAACTGCCGTATGCAATTATGTGAAACGTGTACCCTTCCCACAACCGATACATGTATAATGCCTTTAAACATGATTTCACTAAAGCAATATTACTATGTAAGTAATACAAAGTAAAAACCCTCTTACCCCTTCCCATCTGCTAATTAAAATACATTGAAATTCAGTAACTCAAGCAGTTAAACTAACTCCCCCCCCCCTTAACCCCATTTCACCATTTTTATAAAACTCCCCCTTGTTCATTTAATTTGTAACTAAAAACCCAACAATTTCAAACCTTTATGAACATTATGAATGACAATTACAACTCTTCAGAATGAAAAATGCCAATTGCATATCTTCACATTACAAATGATTTTAAATTTAAACCTCAGCAGAGGAAACCACACGGTCGTTCGGGAGTCCGCTCCACCCCCCCCCCAATTTTCCGCTCTCAATCACCCCAGCAAGACACTATACCCCCAACCAGTCCCCTCGCCCTACATTACACCCCATCACCATACACACAAACTTAGTCCAGTAGCCAAAAAACTTAATTTTTTCCCCCCCCCTCCCTCCGGGAGACCAACGCCTTGGCTCAGAGGGATTACCCCTACCTACACCTCATTACTCCTATAAAGTTTCCATCGTTAGATTCCTATACCCCAACGAAAAAGATCCCTCCCAGCATTGCCCATTCACCTCTATTCCTACATTTCGTCCTATAAACATGTCACATAAGTGCCCTGATGCGCATTGCACCCCTATATTCCCGCATACCCCATGACACGTATTAGTACCAAATGTGACTCGGAATGTCTTTGCCACATCCGAGCACTTCCCCCCCCCCCCCCCATCTCTACTCAAAACTCGAAGCATCGACCAAACCTCCTCCCACTCGTCTGATAATACCCTTGAACCAATTCCTAACCTTGTGTAAACCATCGCAAGAGTATACATTAAACAGTTTCTGCCCACCTCCACCATGCACAGGTCTGATCCTGGGTCGTTCCCATAGCGTACAATTGTGCCTTGGACACTAAAGTCTCATGGAGGAAGCGGTAACCAGTTTCCGTAACCTGTGGTTAAAAGTGCAATTTCTTTAACCCCTGCCATATTGTCTTCCGACAATATCCTGGGAAAACCTCTTATCACCAATGACTTCTGATGTTATAACTATGCTGTCGAATTTACCTGCCCTAACTCGTAGGGTGTTGCACCACCCAAGTGCCTTAACATCGCTTCACTTTGCACCTTCTGAGGTTTTTTCCCCACCCACCACCAGGTGCTGTGTAATCCTCCGGGTTTAGCGCTTCCCCCTTTATTATAATAATAATCCCCACCCACCATGTAACCTCCATCACCGCATCAACCCTCGCTCTCCTGACCCCACCCCTTATCAAGAATTCCTATCGTATGTATATGCTGGTTAGGCGACTGTGTAGTGGTATTAGCCCCAGACCTCCCTTAGCTACGTGCATCACAACTGTCCTTCCCTAACCAATGCCTATGGTAACCCCATATAAAATCCACTGCCTTCCTGTACCCAACACATCAATCATTGGATAGACCACTGAAACAAACCATAATTTATATACCCCAGTATTTTTACAATATACTGGGGGTGTAATGTTAATCCCCCCTCCCCCCCTATGAATTGTGGTGTACATACAGGGGGAAAATTAAAGCCATCTCCCTTTTTATCATTGCAAAATACACCACGATCTTTATCTGCTCAACAGTTTTCCACCCATACTCGGTCCCTAACCCCCCCAGGCCCCCCCCTCCAAAAGTTTGGTTTTCTCTTTTAAATTGCGGGAAAATGCATCGCAAAAAAAACCCTTAACCTTTTTACGACCCCAAACCATTCCTTTATGACCAACATGTGGTAAGTCCACATACCTAAAATCCCTATGCTTACCCCCTGCAAAATCCCCCCTTCCCCCCACCCTTTACATCTAAAAAGGGGCCCTGTAAACAAAAGCGGGGAAACCCCCTGATACACCCCCCACCCCAGCCTATCGGGGCCCCCCAACCCCCCTTGACCTGGACCCAAACCTGGCCTCATGTATAACTGTGCACCCATGCTTTTTTTCCCCAAAACCCCGCTTCAATTTTTGGAAAAATTTTCCCATCCACCCCAAAACCCCTTTCCCAAACTAATCCCGACCTCCTCCATCAATCCTTCACAAATTTTGGGGCGTCGATGACTGATCTATAGTACAGGGAAACCCAATTACCTTGTCCAAAAAGCATTTCATCCAGTTTGCCAAAATAAGCGCAAAAATCTTATCCACCCAATCAAAATGATGGGCCTGTATTCCTTCAAAGATTCGCGGACCTCTGCCTTTCGTACTAACACTACAATGCCCAACCCTGCCTCTCCACCCATTCTACTGCTTATTTTCATTGAATTGTGTAGTCTAACCAACATGTTTGTAGTTTCCAATGAACTACATAAAAATCGCCTGGTATCTCATCCCAACCAGGCAATTTCCTCAGTGCCTGTCCCTGAGCAGCCTTGTAAACCTCCGATATAAAACCCTCCATGTCCTCTGGATCCACGTCTCAAATTCGCCACTATGCCTCGCAGTAAAGCTTCCCTCTAGATTCCCCTCCCTACCCTTCCATTTTCTTAGACCGATTATCAAATGGTATAAAATACTGACAGGTTGGTAGGAAAGACACGTGGGCAACATTTAGGAAACTATTCTGAAGAGTTTCGCCCACAGTAGGCTTCGGTAGAGAACAGGAAGTAGGTGGCAATAGTAGAGATGTGAAGGCGATGTAATCAATCACCCATTAAGTCTTAGATTTGAGGTTGTCCCTCAGCTGAAGAAGTTCTGTTCCAAAGTCTGGAACTAACTGAAGATGAAGTGACAGTATTTAAGTCTCTACACTCTTATCTTCAGTTAGTTCCAGACTTTGGAATAGAACTTCTCCAGGCTGAAGGACTGACCTCAAATCTACTACTTCAAGGGTAATGGACTGATGAGTCTTCACATCACTACCACCTACTTTCTGGGCTCTACTGAAGAAGCCTACTGTGTAAGCGAAAATTTTCAGAATAGTTGCCCAAATGTTTCCCATTTGTCTTGCCTACCATTCTCAAACCATTGGTCTGCATAGGTCCCTAGGCTATCTGTAGTAACTAGCCTGTGTCCTTTACGATGACCACCCAAGTCTGCACCAACCACCACTCAAAACGTCTCGATACGTTTTGTTTTAAAACTATGCAGGACCCCTACAGAAGGCTTATTCCCCCAAACCACCACCTCGATCCCCACTCGCACCCTCAAAGCCTGAAAATTATCTTAATTTCTCGTAATTGACTATAAAGGCACTATTTCCACGGAGTCATACCTCCCACCAGCACTAACAATCCCACAGCTGTCCCTCTAAATACTTTTGCTTCCTGTATCTATAACACTCCTTCCCTAACCTTCTATAAAAACCCTGTATTGCATTTTTCACCTTTGAATGCCACCACTACAATCCTCCTCCTATCCCATTTCCTTCATTCCAGAATCCAACCCACCATAACCTGAGCTTCCAAAGCATCGAGCAACAAGTTAAAATTTTTTTTTTTCCAAAAACTATAAAACGCATATAACGCCCTCCCACTCAAGTTACCAGAACACCACAGTGGTCTGAGAAATCGACACACATTCGACCCTGCCACTACGGATTAAGCTAATGACGTTAACCCTGTCCAGCGGCGCAGTGTAACCCCTACCAGTGTGGTCCACATTCCACCTGTTGCTACCCACAACATCCACTACGCCAGTCTGCAGAACCTCCCGTGAAACCCCTAAATTGCACCCCCAACCATGTGGTTCGACATCTTTTTCCCGGATCCCACAATTCCAGTCGCCAGCTACGACAGAAATTAAGGGTAGACCTTAGAGAAAATAAACCTAAAAATGTACAAAATCCTCCTTTACTTGTCAATTTGATGTCACTGGCAAATACTCCCACGAAACCCACCTGAAAGTTCCCCAATGAACCCACCACATGCATGACCTGGCTCCCCTCCACCCCACTCCCATGCAACAAGTGTGAAAGGGCTGGTCTCCCTTATGCCTATCACTACCCCACCCTTGAGATTCTCTGAATTCCCCGCATAACACTGGTACCCATGCACACCTAATTCACTACCATGCCGAAAATTTTTTTTAAATATATATATAAAAAAAGACATCTGAACGTCTGAGCGATACCTCTACCCGACTCCTCTTGACCTCTGCTCTGAGGCCATTAACATTCATGATTATACACTTTAACTCTCCGATTAGGTTTTCTCAGTTTTCCTGTCGCCTTTAACCCTGACTTGGACTTGCCACTGCTGCACCCGTCCAACTTCCCCACACTCCCACTGTACTTCTCTAAGTCCCTTAATGACCTTGGCTACGTCAGCCCACACAATTTTACAAGACCTTTGCCCTGATAAGACATAATCCTCCACCAGTGTATTGGGCCTCTAGTGACACTCGCTCATAATCCATAAGCCTTTTACCATCCTATGCACCTTCACCACTGTCGTACAAGTTGCACACCTTTCCTCATTGCCCACTCGTCCCGCTAGAACATGGTCGACCACAGAGGACGCCGCCAATATAGGCGGTAAATCCACTGTCCCTCTTCAAGGGGGGGCTCCT